GGTAGTAGCAAAGTTGGATTTTTTGAGTTTATATGTTCTAATTTCTTGAGATGTCAGTATTCTTCTAAAGGTTAAAAACTTCTGAAGGAAAGCCAAGCCTCAAGTTTAAATGCATTAACAGATTATTCTTTACCTTGTAAGAGGTAATTACCTTGTAATTTTAAGGTATTATAAGCTCTTTTAAGTGAGTAAAGGAAGATGAGGACTCTAAACTGTCACTATACCAGCTTGTTCAGCTTCTAGCAGATATTGCAGAATCTCCTACAAAACATTTTACTTTGGATTCTAATGCTGTAGATACTCACAGTTGTTTCCCATGACCAAACTTTCCCAGCTTCACAACTCTTTGTAATGACAGTTCACATCCTCAAAGGGAGTTGAGGGTCAAAATGAGATCTTTCAACACAGTTCTTTCACTTCATAAATCTGAGACTAATTGTCTGAGACCTGATTAAGGAAAGTCAGCAAAGGCAGAATTCTTTCTCACAGGAGAATCCATAGTGCCTAAATGATTTCTTGGATGTCAATGCACCTGAGAGATAGCCAAAGATGTACTGCACTAAAAAAAGGTGTCTTAATCATTTTACTACAAACACTGACACGAGAGATCACTGTATTTTAAGTTTAGGAAGGTGTACTCAAGGAGGGTTTTGTTCTGTGGCAGACAGCTTCATGGATGTAGCGGGAAATGACAGGAGTTTCACTCAGCAAGATGAAGATTGAGAGAAGATATGATTGCTATGAGTTCGTGTTTTGCAGGTGACTACTGTAGGGGAAAGCAATACTTAGTTTGAGTAAAATAGATCTAAATTGGTGATTATTAAATTTAGGCTGAAAATTAGGTTGATGTTTCTGAGTACTAGAGCAGTTAAATTCAAGATTAGTCTTCCTGTGTGATTAGTGACAGTCAATAAAATTTCAGCAAGACAGGCACTTCCTTCAAGATAGAGTGATATTTTAATGGGAATTGTTTGAGGTGATATCTGTACTTGCAAGGGACTTTACTCCATCATCCTTCTGTGGTCTATATTCCTAATAATATATAATTACATAAATTCTATGCATTTATGGAGACTTCTCACCTAATCTGCTGGGATTCTCTTTGAAACAATGGAAGAATGTAAGTTGTCCACTTATAAAGTAGGTAGGATAAATGTCTCTCCTTTATCTACAGAGAAGATAAAAATGACTAATTTATACTAGGATTCTGCTGATCCTGGGGTGGAAGTGAGATGAGTGGAATACCATCCTGTATAATTCACAAAATCAGTCTAACTATGCTTCAAGTGGAAGATACGGTAGAGACTGTGTGACCTTTGTCGCTCTCTTGCATTTAATTTCTAATTTTGTAGAACTCCTTCCTGTAATATGATATCAAAAATGATGACAATATTCCAGCCTTGATCATACTGGCTCTTCAGCACTAAGGAGTAATGAGTATGGTACTTTAGACTGCATTTCCCCAAAGTAACCTTGGTAGTGTCTTGCAACCAACAGTTATTGTCTGAGAAGGATGAGGTTTCAAGTGGCTTTAAGATTTATGTGGCTAGTACTGTGACATGAGCATCTATTTAAGAAATAAATGAACTGGAAGGACCTTAGTGAATGTAAAATGTAAGAACATCAGAATAAAGCAAGACTGAACATACTCTTCTGGATCATCAAATTCCTTTCTCTGCGCTTGGAGGCAGTCAGGTGTCTTGCACTTCTCTGAAAAAACTCCTGAAGTAATGTTTGTTTCTCTATCTAGTTAAGCAGAAATAATAAAACAGAAAACTCAGCTTTCTGTGTTGCAATTAAACATACTTATAGCCTTGTGCTGCAAGAACCAGTTTTAACGACAGATCCTTAAATTTAATTAACTGTAGTTGCAAACGGACAAACCAGGACGTTCATTTCATACACATGAAATGCATTGATGCAGGAAAAATTGGTTACATTGAGATTCTAGAGGTCTGCATCAGACATGTGGTACAGGCCAGCAAACAATAAAAATATATTCTATTTCATTCTATAATAGGTTCTAATTCAGTTGATGAGCTACTGTATATGGAATGTATGTATTTAATATCCCATTTAAGCAATGATTTTCTTCCAAATGCAGGCAAGGAAAGAGGAAGTGGTACTAGACAAAGATGCTAATTCGAAGTATTCTTCACTGCAATGATTACCCTTTGCTTTGATAAACCATACTGAATGTATTGCTAGAATAGAAATATAATCTCTTTCCCTTATTTGAAAAATGGAAGAGGAAGTATTTAATGAGCAGCAGTTCTTGGCTGTGGGCTGTGTCAGTTCCCCAGCACAGACTGGTTACGCTGGTGGACCCAGTGACAAAGGACCCAGGTGAGGCTGAGGTACTGTGTGCTTCCTTTGCCTCTGTTTTGAACAGTAAGGTCTGTCCCCATAAGCATTATTTGGGTGAGTTAATCACCCCAGACTGCTGAAGATGATGCATCTCAGGAAATGGTGATAACCAGGATTCTGTTGAGAGGTTTGTTTCCTTGTTCAAGGATCAAATACTAGCAAAATAATTTTATACATAATTTTATATGGGTTTGTTCTGCAGGACACATGAAGATACATATTTTATATCAATTATGTTGTTATTGACAATTGAAGTAAGATTTTAGTCTACATTGAACACATCTTTGTTATTTGGAAGAAGTTTAAAAAATATGTTCCAATTTTTTTGTGAGTTGAATTTTTTGTCTGTTTATAATCTGTTCAGTGTAGAATCAAGTTGGACATCAGGAAGAATTTCTTCATGCAAAGGGTTGTTAAGGAAGGGAGTGCCCAGGGAGGTGGTGCAGTCACTTGGTGCTTAGTGATTTGGTCAGGTTGATGAAGTAGTGATGAGTCAAAGGTTGGACTTGATGATCTAGGAGGTCTATGCCAACCTAAATGATTCTGTCCTTCTGTGAAATAACTTCAGTATACATTATTTAAATTATGTTCAACAGTAATTGGTTGCTGCACTGAAGAAAGAAGCAGTTCAAGATAGATAGGGAACTGCTGCGTTTAAATAATCAATTTACTCAAAACTGAGAAGCCGGTGTGGAGCTAAGAAAGTTGCAAAACTTGGTGCACTTAAAAGATGGTAGAGAGCGAGCTTGCCATGATTTCTCCCTCTGCACCCTTGGGTGCCAGGTCTCAGGACTCTGTGTCTGGTTGCTTAAATTGAAGCCCGGGTCAGTCTACCTTAAATGTAGGTAACGCTGCTAAGGACCTTCTCTGGTACAAAATAACAAATCCATTAAAAATGTGTATGAAAACTTTGTACTGCTTTTCAGACTTTCTACAAATGTGATGTCACAGGAACACACTGAACTGTGAAAATACAGCAAGATTCCAAAATTCAACATATACACAGGAAAACTAGAATAAATATAAAATAAAGCTTATATAACTTTTTTTCAGAGCTACATTTCATGGTTCATAGGATTTGCATTTATCACTAGGAAAAAAGTTTGCTTTTGAAATGAATTTAAACATAAAACCAAACATTTCTTTGCTTGATTTAAATATTTTGTGCTTCCCTACTAGCAATTCTGAAAAATTATTTATTAAAAATATCAAATAATGTAACTAATAATTATAATTAATAGTTACTGTTGTCAGTTGTGATATATTCCACATTCCATACCTATTATTATCTTGAAGAAAAATGGTCCTTTTATATTTAAGACTTTGGCAATTTCAAGTATTTCCAGTGCTGCAGAAGACTGTATCTCTAGAACAGAGAAGGCAAGAAGCAGAAAGGAAATTTATACTAAAGCTAAATCTAAACAACCTAGAATAAATACCTTGTAATGTTACTTTTTGTGAAGAAATCTTGAATCACAAAGGACTAACTTTTTAAGCTGAAATTTTAATTCATATTCATTAATATTTAATGAATAAAATATTGCTTATTGTTATTTTTTGTGGGAAATACTGAATGTAGTGAAGTGTATTTGAGCATATGTATGTAAGGAATAATTAAGCTACTATTCAATAAAGAAAAAAAGATGAAGTTGTGGAGAATATTGAGTAGTTTAGGAGAATAATGCTAGAAGAGAAAATTATTTGCAATTTAATTTATATTGAAGATTGGAATCTTAATAGGCTGAAAAAATAAGATTGAATTAGTGAATTAGATTTCCTACTTTTTAAAGTGAATGTATCATATTTTGTAACATTTCTCAGAAAACTTAAGTTTGCTATGTTCACTTTATAATAATGACTAAATAATTATTAATGAGGTATTTAATAATTATGGTTGGAAATGGCTGAGTATTTCAGTAGTAGCAGACTGGACAACATTTCAGAACTATCATGAATCAAGAATTAGCAAGATTTGTTGTCAAGCCCCTGAGTGAAGGAATAAATAGCATATCAAGATTATGAATGTAATAATGAAAAGAATGGCGGAGATGAGATGTAAGAGCTGCCATGCAATGTATTTGATGTGCTTTTATCTTGTCCAGATTCACTTAATGCCTGAGCACTCCATTATGGATGTCAGAAAAACATCAGCAGGGTGAAGAGGAGAGGCCAGAGCCGAAATATAAGTTAGATGGTTGCTGAAGCAGGGACATAAGAGCAGGTGAAGTCAGCCTGACTGCTTTTGTGAAGCAGAAGGGAGTTTAGAGAGTTTCCATCTTTGTGTGCCCTGCAGTCCTGAGCAATCCCTCATTTCTCATCCCACGACTGCTGACTCCTTTCACACTGTGGCTTATTCTCACTCTGAGCTGGGAGGACAAAATAAGGAAAAAAGTGTAGCTTTAAATGATTGATGACAGATTTTTCTTCTTGTTGAAATAAAATGTAGCTGACTACTGATTCTCAGGTTGTGTAATAACAATGGTTACAAAATGGATCGAGGGCAGGGTTTCTGGTGTCCCTGCTTCATTCAAAACACACAGCAGATAAAGGACTAGAAATTTTTATTTATTATTAATCAAAATGGATATACCTTTGCATAAAGAAGAACTAACAATTTCTCTGTGTGCACACAGCCGGGGCAACGAGAACAGGCTGGCCCTGCGGCGACAGACCATTCTGCGGGAGAAGGGCAGGAGGCAGGCCAGCCGCGGGCCAGCCTACATGTTCAATGACCACTCCACCAGCCTTTCCCTGGAGGAGGAGCGCTTCCTGGATGCCGCCGAGTATGGAAATATCCCGGTGGTTCGCAAAATGCTGGAAGAATGTCCCTCGCTTAATGTCAACTGCGTGGACTACATGGGACAGAACGCCTTGCAGCTGGCAGTGGCCAATGAGCACCTGGAGATCACAGAGCTGCTGCTGAAGAAGGAGAACCTGGCGCGGGTGGGGGACGCCTTGCTGTTGGCCATTAGCAAGGGCTACGTTCGGATAGTGGAAGCCATCCTGAGCCACCCCGCGTTCGCCGAAGGCAAGAGGCTGGCTCTGAGCCCCAGCCAGTCGGAGCTGCAGCACGACGACTTCTACGCGTACGACGAAGACGGCACGCGGTTCTCGCACGACGTCACGCCCATCATCCTGGCTGCTCACTGCCACGAGTACGAGATCGTGCACACCCTGCTGCGGAAAGGAGCTCGCATCGACAGGCCGCACGACTACTTCTGCAAGTGCAGTGAGTGCAATCAGAAACAAAAGCATGACTCTTTCAGCCATTCTAGGTCCAGGATCAACGCCTACAAAGGTCTGGCCAGCCCTGCTTACCTGTCTTTGTCCAGTGAAGACCCTGTCATGACTGCCTTAGAGCTCAGCAATGAGCTGGCCGTGCTTGCCAACATTGAAAAAGAGTTCAAGGTGAGTAGAGGGACGCTGATTTTGGCAGACACAGAACTGCAAACTTTATCCTTCATAAATCAGCAAAATAATGTGGGAAAAGATGCAGTTTTTTACTGAATGGAAGATTCAAATCTTTGTGAATATCTTATTGCCATGTGCTGATTGTAATTCACACTGTTTATGTAGAATGTGCCAGTGAACTCATTTTCTACTTCCTATCAGGCAGGGGAGTGAAGGAGGCCCTTCAAAACTATGGCTGAAGCTGGTTTAGGGCAGGGAAAAGAGGAGACTAAAGTGGTACATTTTAGTCACTTATGACAGACAAGTTGCATGATTCTGTCAAACCCTTGTGCATTCTCTTTAGTTTCTTGTATTTGATCTTGAAGCTTTCATACTTACAGTGTACTGCGTTCCTTCATAAGGAGGATTCTAAATAAATGTCCTCCTTTTTTAATGTGCTGTTCTGGTATTTCTGTTCACTTCTTTCTCTTTGTTACTTATTTGTGCTTAATTATATGCAAACTCTGTAGAGTTAAAAGTTTTTTTCAGTATTACATAGAGATTTTAGTATTTCATAAATGCATGTTTTTGAAAAAAATATTAATAGTTGAGACCCAGGCTCCATAGACTCTTGAAGCATGTGTTAAGGCAGTAAGAATGTAAGGTTTTATCTGTCAGTAAATGCAAAGTCAGGCCTTGTGCAAATATTGTCAATGTTATTTATGACCTGGGTTAGCTGAAATCACTTAGTGTGGGTTTGTCTCATGGGATCCTGTCAAAAGCAGATGCTCCTGTGACAGAGCAATATATATAGACTTCACTAGCAGGAGATCAACATCCTTCCAAAGCTGTAACAGAATAATTTCGACCATTGTGTTAGCAAATGTTTCAAGTTATCATGATCAATATTTTACAATAATCTTAGTACAGTTCACAAAACTGTGAACCTGTCTCTACTCAGCCAACCTGAGCTGAGGTGCTGCAGTTCTGAATGAATTCCCCTGGACTTGTGCTCATAGGTGGCACCAGTCTATTATAAGAATCTAGAGATGGAAAATAAGGAAGAGAAATGTACAAGGTGATCTTAACAACAGCAGCTGAACTGCTGAAATTGAAGGGAAGGAGAAAAAAACCAAAATACTGGGAGAACCACTTTAGGTTATTGCAGAGAATGAACATCTGCCCCATGAAGTCTCTGGCAGAAATTTTTAGGACCTCAGTGGACTGAGATTTCGTCCACTGATTTCATGTACAGAGTATTGAAACCACATACTTCTTTCTCTTTAGCAGCTGCTGATGGCAACAAAAGGACTTGATTAACTTAAAGCTGAGTAAATTTAGAACAGAGCTAAAAACTGTTTTTCATAAACCGTAAGTGCAGCCTGTTAAGTTCACAGTTACATTGAGATAAATAGCATGACTGATTTGTAGGACCTGTAAAGATCCCTTTACCACAGCTGGAGTGACACAAACTAAGATTATTATAAAGATAAATAAAATCATCATCTGGAGCAGCCAGCAAGAGGTGCCCTTCGAATGCTACAGAACACAATCAGTGAGATGAGTGGGAGCACAGCACCTGCCCATGGCACCACCAGGCAGGGAATGGAGCACACAGGTGAGAACCCATGTAGGCTGGGTCACAGAAAAAGCTTCTGCAGCCAGCTCTGAAGTGCCATGAGGAGGTCCTTCTTTGGTGACTTCTGTTTTTCCAGTTCCTCTTTTGTCTCAGTTGCTCTCTGTAAAATGAGAGCTTCACTTCTAGTGTAGTATAAAGAATTTTAACAGATTTTGGATACTGTCCCTCAGCAGAAACAGGAGATTAGATGAGAGACAAAGCAGCTCCATACTGCTGGGCATTAATCATCCAGGCTTCTTGGGAATATGCATACTCTTTGGATAGAGTGAAGTGGAATAGGAGCACTGAGGAGCACAAGCACAAGGCAATGTGGAAATTTAACTCTCCAATAATTTAAGTTTTCACCAGGAGCGGGCAGCTGGCAGCATAAGGTCTTTTGGGAATGTTTTTATAGATACTAAAACCATGTAGTGGTTCTGGATAAATATTAAAGACTGTGAAGTACATTTATAACTGAATTTATGAGAGCTGACATTTATACTATTGATAAGCAGTGATATTTATAATATCTAGACAGGCCAGGGGCTTGACTGCAAAATACCTGCCTTAGGTTCAGTGAAGGCAGTACAAGTGTGTAAAAGTTTGCAAGAACTGGAGGCTGTCAGCTTTACTGAGTCTGGGCTTGTTTGCACTCCTGCAAGCTTTTATGGTTGTAGCAATTAACCTAAAAAAATGTTACCGTTGCTTTATTTCAGGAGTTTGCTACAATTATTTGGAGAGTGTGGTCACTGCATAAAAGTGTGGGTTTGGTAAAAATGCTTTACATGTGTTAGTGTAATCAAAACAAGTATATTTTTAGTGCATAGGTTTGCTGGACATGGCAAATCTTTAGCTCCACCTAGGGTTAGCCTGAGCAATTTAAAGTATTTCAAATCTTACCTAAACTTAAACTCAGCTTTCTGGTAACACACGATTTTAGGTCACCCGTTTTGTAGTGCTGATAGGGTATTGTAGCAGGGAAACTTTCAAGTGGTTGCCTACAGCAGCCAGTGACACAGATAATTTCCAGGTCTTCCTCAGAGGCAATAGGAAGGATCAGTGCTAAACTGTGATGCTGGTTGTTTTATGACTGTCCTATAAATTGCTTCTCTCCTCTAATATTAGAGAGAACACTGGCCATGAAACTGTGATTCATACAAAATAGGAAATGCCACAGTCAGGGGAAACCATTATTCTCTGGAATAAACCCCTTTCTTCCTACAAACCTATGCAGTAGTGTCATCCAGCATTACATGCCTTTTGCATTTTGTTCCAGGTATTAAAAGTGTTGCAGTATTTAAGAGTGTTTTTGAGAAAAATACTTTATTAGGAGTAAAATCAGAAAAAAAGTAGGTTACTTCTGAAGGAAGAATAACTGGACAGATGTGTAAAGCACAGCGTAGAAATATTTCTGTATGAAACAAATAGCTAGTTCAAGATTCCTAAGTAATTGTGAGATCTTCAGGTATTTCTGAAGACCATTTAATTTAGTTTTGTGTCCTAGAACCATAGAATGGTTTAGGTTGTAAGTGGCCTTAAAGATCGTTTAGTTCCAACTGTGCTGCCAGGGCAGGAAACCTTCCATTAGAGAGGTTACTCAGACCCCCATCTAACCTGGTCTTGAACATCTCCAGGGATGGAAAGTCCTCTAAGGACAACCTATTCCAGGGCCTTACCACTCTTAAAGTAAATAATCTTTTCCTAATAGGTAGTCTAAACCTATGCTCCTTCAGCTTAAGGACATTGGCTCTGGTCCTGTCCTGCCAGGCTTTTTTCTGAAGTCCCTCTCCAGCTCTCTTGGAGCCCCTTCAGGTACTGGAAGCCTGTCTTCTCCAGGCTGAGCAGCCCCAGCTCTCAGCCTGTCTGCATGGGAGAGCTGCTCCAGCCCTCTGATTGTCTTTGTTGGCCTCCTCTGGACTCGCTCCAACAAGTCAACCTCTTCCTTATGTTGGGGGCTCCAGAGCTGGACACAGACCTGCAGGTGGGGCCTGAGCAGAGCAGAGCAGAGGGGCAGAATCCCCTCCCTGGCCCTGCTGCCCATGCTGCTTTGGATGCAGCCCAGGACACAGTTGACTCTTTAGGCTGCAGTCTGGCATTGCTGGTTCGTGCTGAGTTTTTCATCCACAGCACTCCCAGTCCTACGTCTCATGGTTTTTCTTGATTCGTTCTCTGCCCAGCCCATGCTTGCACCTGAGATTGCCTCAGCGCATGTGCAGGACATGGCTTAGTGTGCAGCTTTACAAAGTTTGATATTATATAGAATATTTTTAGTTTTGGAGATGGTGTTCGTGTTTTCTGTCATCTCAATGGTTTGCCCACCTAAGAGCTAATATCTTTACTATGTAATGAAGAGGTAGATGATATATGACAAATGTTGTCCTGCAGAGATGTGGCCTGAAGTTTTGAGAGGGACAGTTGTGGCCCAGTGCTGCTCAAAATGGATAAGATTAGCATTTATTATAAAGTCCACTGCAACTATAATGGCAACTGACTGGTTTATTGTTTAAAAGGATGAAACGGAAGATATGTTTTCAAGTTAAACATAGATATATTATGTTTGCTGTAAAGTAGTCTCCCTAATACTCTAATAACTGTCCAAATTTGCTTTTCTGATGAGAAGCAAAATTCAATTTACCATCTCAAAATCTAACTTTCTGGTTTTGTTTTTTTTTTCTTTTGTTTGTTTGTTTGGTTGGTTGGGGGGTTTTTTTGTTGTTGTTTGTTTTTGTTTTTGTTTTTTTTTTTCACTTATACAATCCCCATTACAGAAATGGGATCTCCATCTTCACTACAGCTATTGTCAGCTTTCCTAAAGAAAAAGTAACATCACCTGTTAGAGAAGGAGTGAAGCACTGAAGGCATAAGGGCCACCTTTGAAAGGGAAATAATGTATTTAGCTACCTACTGGCACCTAAATTCGACATTACATCCCACTTTGAAATCTTAAGTTCTAGTATAGCAGTATTCATATTTCTGATTTTGTCCTCTACAGTTCACTGAGCAGAGCCAGGACATGGTCTGGAGCACTGCTCCATCTCATCCATGGGGTTCAGTGTCTTCCTGCATCCTGAGAGCCTTCTCATCCCAGGCAGTCTGGGGGACAGCAGGAGCCTGGACTGGTCCCAGGGGACTGTGTGAAAAAAGAACCTTTCTTCTGGGAGATACATTTGTAGTGATGCTCTCCTGGTCTCCTGGCTGTGGTTGCCTGTGCATGGTCAGAGGTGAAGCAGGGCATGGTCAGCTGAGGTTTTCAGAGTGACAAGAGCCTGCTTGCTCCCTTACTTGGCACCCCAAGACAGTCTGCCACGTTAAGGGCAGGTGACTCCTCTCAGCAGTGCTGCTCTCACTCCTCTGCCACCAGCATTGTTCCCTAGTTCCTCATCCCCCACAGTGCTGCATCACCTTCCTTCTGCAGGTGGGAGCAGCTAGGAGCAGCTAGTACTGCTCCCTCATCCTTAGTGTTGTGAAATTTGACACAATTTTTTTTTTTCCTAAACTGCTGAGGGGCCCTGAGGCGATGTTGTCACATGCAGAGAATAAAGCACACATGCTTTACTGCAGAATTCAGTGCTGATTCTTTTTAGAGCCTTCAACCGTAACTTAGTTTCTAAGAACCATCTACAGTTTCTCAGGAATGGGCTTTTTTAAAAATCACTAGGTTTACAACATGCAGTAAATGAGAACTCATTATCTATGCCTTTGTCCATTTTTGAAAAGAAGTTAAGCCAAATAAATTGCCCCATTCTCTTGGCTCACATAAATGGTACGAGACATGTGAGAATCAGGGAGGGGAACATTTTTTTTGTGTGTGACAGAGACACACTGAAGAGTGTATCAATCATTTTTGCTGTAATTTCAGTTTTTGTTCTGGCTTCAGATGACTTTGCCTGTGCCACAGCAGAGGTGGAGGCAGTGATGGGCAATGCTCAGTTTCCCAAAGCTTGTTTGCCATAACCTGACTGCCGAGAACTTTTCATCTCTGCTATCACCACTGCTCACAGCTGTGGCAGTATCTCATGGGATGGGGGAAATGTTTTATTGCGTTTGCAAATGAGAAAATAAACTTGTGGATTTTATGGATGGATTTATGGGGTGCTAAAATACACTGTGATATTGTGTACAAACCTAAATTCAGAAGGGATAATTCCCCTGTAGAGTAATGGTCTCCTTACATCCTGTTTCGAAACTCCATGTCAGGTATCAGTCACTTGAGCTGCAAAATACTGATGAAGAGTGTGTGTGAGTGTAGATGTATGTACCTGTCTTCTACCAGAAAAAAATACACGTATTAGTATATTACAATGCTTCATAAGTTCTTATGAAGGCCAAATTATATTCTTATGTTTATTGAAAGTTATTTGGGTTTTTATATTGGTAAACAAGGATCAAATATCAATTTGGAAGAGTTAGTACTTAATCATACAAGGGTGGGTAGTTGCCTTAATGTTTCTCCTTTGTCTGTGAATTTTAAATGGCTAATTTTCCTTTCATTTGGAAGAGAAAATTCATGTGTTAAAAATGCTGGATAGTGAATCTTAGCTTCTGCACAAAAATGAAAGTCAAACAGAAGGTGAAATATTACTCTCAAAAAATGTCTTTCTGTAGTGCCAGAAGTCAGGATTTTGATTAACCTCTCCTGTTACTCACTGAATGGAGAGAAAACAAATAATGCAATAATAAATTATTCAGAATGACAGGAAATTATTAGTTTTAGTATTTAGCTTCTGTTGCCTTTGTAGATAAATGGCATTGAAGTGACTTTTGCTCTTATGAGAGATCTGAGTTAACTTGTTTGTGTTATATTATTAAAAAAATAAATCACTAGCAGTTTTATGTAGATGTCTGTAAATATTTGTCTGTGAATGTTTGTTTGCATCCATCTAAGCAAAGTGAAGTGTAAAACTTGGATGCAATCCTTTAATTTATCCAAGTAATAAACTGTTATTGTAGTGTTGTGGGTGATAAAGCACAAAGCTGCCTGAAGTACACCCTCAGCAAAGAAATTAGGGTATCCTGTATGCTCATTCTCTTCTAGGATGAAGTATTGGATGCATTAGATGCCGGTTCATATGAAGGAAGTATTTAAACAGGATGGGCTAACTCGAGACTAAGAGTGGAAGAAGGGGAAATACCCTGAAGAGCAAACTGGAAGAGGGGAAGATGTGTCTGTGTAATAAAAGCATTTGTAGAAAATTACTTTGAACATGCCACAGAGACTACATGAGCAGTCCTGTGTGCTGTGTGGTGGTGGAAGGTTTCTTCCATTCTTTTGTTTAGGAAAAATTCTACAGTAATTTCATCTTTTTAAGACATTAAAATAAGCAGAAATCAAAAAAGTAGTAGAAGTTGCTGACACATGCATGAATAACTCTTGTGAGATTTTTTGTTTTAGTTTTAGATACACATCTCTACCTAATTCCCAGCTATATCCAACTTTCATGACCCAAACACAGCTGCATGTGAGGAGTGGTTAATGAACTGCAGATTGCAATGATCAAAACACAGTTTTCTGTTTTGACTTCTGTCTTTTGGAAAACAGTGCCCAAGGAGGATAGTTGTTAGTTAAAGCAATAAGCAACTGAAGCTGCAGTTGCAGAGTGACATTTTGGCTCCAGTTGTGAAGTCTCTTGAGAGGTCCTTGAGCTAGAGCCGAGCTGCAGTCAGAGATGTGGTATCACCACATGAGCTGTGCCACTGCTGGCACTGTTGCTGGAGAGCAGCAGTCAAACCTTGTGTTTGCAAGCTAGAATATATGTTGGAAATGGGGAAAGACAAAGTTTACAAGAATAATTCTAGGCCTTAGAAATTTCAGTATATTTATGCAATTCTGAAGAAGGTTGGGAATTTCTCTAGATGTATTCTGCGTAGGATGCTCATCTTGGCCAATTGAAATCTCTGCAGTGCAATTTCCTATGTCTTTTCTAGACTTCTGCAACAGTAAATAGAAAATTTTCCTCTGTGCTATAGATCTCAACTTGAACTGGTCATTACAATGTGTCATACGATGTTTCTGAAAGTGTTTTGGTTTTGCTTTTTAATCTTAAATTTCCTCTAAAGCACGTCTAGAGGAGTGACTTGGGTGTGAAAATTGATAATGTAGATGTGGAAGACTACCAAGGTGAGATGAATCCCTTTCCTTGAACATTTGGGAGAAAAAAAGCATAACAAGATGCAAAGAAGCTATTCACGTTCAGAGAGGTGTAAGTGGAATGTAGAATTGCTTCTCTCATGTTGGATCTAAACACCAAGATTTTTTCTTTCTCCTTCTGTTTTCTAGAATGATTACAAGAAACTGTCTATGCAATGCAAAGATTTTGTAGTTGGACTGCTTGATTTGTGCAGAAATACAGAGGAAGTGGAAGCTATTCTGAATGGTGATGTGGAGATGAGCCATAATAATGGAGAGCATGGTCGGCCCAGCCTCAGCCGCTTAAAACTCGCCATCAAGTATGAAGTTAAAAAAGTAAGCAATTCTGTTGATCAAACAGGCATGGCATGATGGTGGTATAAAATTATGCTTTTGTTAAATGTTATGTTTTGCTAGCCTGCCACACTGAAATGAATGTTTGGGCCCTTTGGGCACAGTGGTTTTTGCAATCTAAACAATCCTCGCTTGCAATATAAACAAGAAGCAGGTATTTAAGGTGAATACTGGTCACAATAAGCATGAGAGCAAATGACTCTAAAACAATGTGTAGCTATGTGCAAAAATTTTTTATATGTATTTTTATTTTAAATCTGTTTTTTAAAGAAAAATCATGGAAAAATTTTGCACTACTTCTGAAGCCTGGAAAAATGTAACATTTAATAAAAGCTGAAGAATAGCACATTAGTCCTAGTGCACTACATAATAAATATTGATACAGGTTTTTGTCAGGCTGTTGTGTCTTGCTCAGAAATTTGAGAAAACGTGGGGAAATAGCACGTCTCACAGAAACTGTGTTTGTGTCTGTACAGAGGGATCAGAGGCACAGCCTAGGAATATTAGTACCGTGGTTCTTAATTCAGGAGAAAGCAGCCTTTAGGCAGTGCCAGCTACAGGAATTATTGGCCCTTCTTTGGCTTGCTTTCATTTCTACTGACAATTTAATACTCTGCTCTCCATCTGAATAGTGCTCAGTGAAACCAGCTGAGTTTGTAGCTGCATAAACATTGGAATTTCCCAGGAAACTTGTGTTGGATAATATAGGTTGTAAAATTCTAGGTGACTTGTGTTGACCAGGGAGAAATTATTTGTGTGGTGAAGTTTGTAACACCAAAGATGAAGAAGACACAGATAAAAAGTATACTTCAAAAGCATGTTACCCTAAATTTTTACAGAAATTGAGTTCACATCCCTGGGGGACACACAAAAAATTTATATGTGAGGTGTATTTATGTGTTCATGAAGGGAAGAAAAGAAAAAAAACCATTTCAGCTGAAACAGTATATGAACACAACCTGAGAAACACTTGCCAAGCTACAGTCACTAAAGAGAGCTGAAACAGCTGGTGAAGAGAACAGATTACATTGGGCTTGGATCCTTCTTACTGTTTGAGTCTTAGTGCTTCTGCAAATGTGAACTTTTTTGCAACACTTTCTCTTATCTCAATAGAGACATTTCTTGTACCTTCAGCCAGTCATCTTTTAAGTATAGAGAATTGATCTAGAAAAAAAACCACACTACATTCAAATAAAATTTTATTTTATTTATAGATTTGGATTTAAAAATGTACAGTGCACAAGAATCTACTTTTTTTAAACATCTGTGTTTGTAAGGTGCTTCTTATACTGTCCAGAGGACACAAAGAGCCTTATGGGACAGACTTCTCAGTTTTGCAGTTTGTCCAAATGGTTCCAAAACCAAGTTATAAATAATCCTCATTTGATTTCCTGCAAATGTGACAGCTGCTTTCCCATGCCATCTGAAAAAAATGGTATTTTCTGTGTCAACATGTGAAAATAGGATATATTTCCTAAGTGATAGGATATTCTTTCCTAAGTGAAGATTATGTAGCATTTTTTTCGGAACAAAAGACTCAAAGTGTTGGAATTTCTGAAGCAGTAAAAATAAAAATTATAAATGTCAGAAGCATATAAAGTTTGCCCAGATAAATTAGCCTTAGATTAAATTAATAGTTTGTGATGGAACATAGTGTTAATAGATAGTTTTTAAGTTAAAATGTTTATTGCTGATGGCAACATGCCTGTTTGCTGGGAGATTTGGCTTATCAAAGTAGTTTTTCTTACACCACTGTTAATGAATTTAAGCTGCATTTTCACTATTTCAGCATTCTTAATCCTCTTCCTATAGCTGTATTTTAAGAGAAGTTATTCTGAAAGCAGCATCATTTTTGTGCTTTTTTTTTTTTTTTTTTTTTTTTTTTTTTTTTTTTATTAGTTTGTAGCACATCCAAACTGCCAGCAGCAGCTCCTCTCTATTTGGTACGAGAATTTGTCAGGTTTGCGGCAGCAGACAATGGCAGTGAAGTTTCTGGTTGTCCTCGCGGTTGCGGTCGGACTGCCCTTCCTCTCCATGGCCTATTGGATTGCTCCTTGCAGTAAGGTCAGCCTGGGAAGCCTTGTCAGGGCCTCCTAATGAATCCTTCAGCACGTAAATTCCTGTATGACAAAGACACACTTACATAATACTTCAGAAACATGTTGTTTTAAAGCCAAGGTAGGATGGAATGGCTGCAAGGTTACACTTTCAGACAATGGTGATTAAGACAGGTAAATGTGTTGTGTTAATTGCAATATGAAGTAAACTAAGTTACAGTGGTCGACCAAGTGTTGCCTTGAGGAAATCCTGTTTTATAAACCAAACAGTTTTTCATTTAGCTCTTGCCTTAGCAGGCAGATGCAGAGCATACTCATTTTGCATTGATTCAGAGCTAAACTAAGTTCAAGCTGTGAGTTGATTCCAGTCGCCTCAAAGGAAATTTTCTTTTTCATTATCAAAAATAATGCTATAAAAGCTGAGACAATGCTAGTATTCATCATATTTCGTGATGTCTTCAAAGCTGTTACACAACCTGCCCTGCATTCACTTGCAATGCTCTGTCTGGGATTAGGTGCTACCAGTATATCTGGTTCAGTTTATGTATAGCATAGAAAACCTTATAGTATAGAAAACCAATAAAGATGGATTGCAGTTTCTAGCCTCACTGAGCTTTGTGTTGAATCCCTGTTTCAGTTGGCCAGTATCCCTTTTGACTGGAACTTATGGAAAATTTCCATTGAAAGTATGTTAGAGGGACAAATGGCCTCCCACCGGGATTGTTCAACATGTTGCAGTATGAGATCCACAATTCTAGCGGGTTGAACTCTGTAGCCTTTTATGTTCTGCCATATTTTTTCATGTCTTTAAAGCTAGACAATAAAAATCAGTTGCATTATTTTCACCTTTTGGTATTATGACTAGGGTTTTTTGAATAATTTTCTCTTAAAGTGCCCTGAGATACAACACATTTCAGTAATTGAATTTCTGCTTTAGCAGTGACTTACATTCTTGTTATTTTTCTTCAATTATTTATTTGTCGTATACAAATGCAGTCAGTCTAAAATTAAAATGTACTTTTTTGCAGCTGCCAACTAAGTGGTAAAGCTAAGACTTTTAATACTAATACAGGCACTCTCAAAAATAAAAAAATTGCTAAAAGTTCAATGTGAGTTTGTATGGAACTTTCAGGTTTTAAAGTGTTGCACTGTAAACCATTTTTTAAGTTGTTCATTGTCATTACAAAGCTGAGAACTTTTCCTTTGTTCAAGTTAGGAGAATATTAAAACTCTACAGAACTACTAATATAACCTTTTGAGGTGTCACGACTTTTTTAAAAAAAGAAAATAAGTTGGGAAAACTGCACAATAACTGTGCTAAATTGAGTATCACATCAGTCAGGAAATGGAATTCTTTTCTTCATAATTCACTCATAGTGATAATGCTTTTAGTAAGTGTGTCAAAATCTTATTTTCTACCTTGCCTCAAAATGAAGTTGGCTAGTATTAAAAAATTCAACAGCTGCAATAAATTTTTCTCTTGATTATCTATAATAGACAAGAATGCCACAAAATAATTACAGTACTATTTAAAATCACTGAATTAGAATACGTATTTTATATTTTTTCATTTCAGTTTCACTGTTAATTTATCGCTTATATCCTAACAGTGAAACTGATGGATTATTCCTCTGAAAATAGGAAATCAGTAGAAACTTCTAAAGATGACTGTGAACAGGGCATCATAATATATAAACATTTTCAGATATTTGTTTCTTCGTATTACTGGAATATATGATTATCTGTGTTACTGCTGTTTTTATATACATTTTATTTGGAATCAGTCAGTGCAATCTCCTTGTGTTTGTTAATCTCTGTTGCAGCTGGGGAGGATAATGCGTGGACCATTCATGAAGTTTGTCGCCCATGCAGCCTCTTTCACCATTTTTCTTGGTCTGCTTGTCATGAATGCAGCTGACAGGTTTGATGGCACCAAACTCCGACCTAATGAGACAACAGACAATGTAAAACAGCTTTTTAGGATGAAAACATCCTGTTTCTCATGGATGGAGATGCTTATTATTTCTTGGGTAGTAGGTAAAAATTTTTGCTTAAATTGCTATGATTACAAGTGAAGCTGAACCCAACCGAATCCTTTCCTTTTAATGTTTTGTGTAAAAATTGCAGCAAAGGGAGTTTATTCAGCTGTCCTCATTCCCACGTGGGCCTTGTGTTTTTTATTGGATGGCAACAGGATTAATGTGTCTAGTTGATCACAAACATGAAGACTAAGTATTTAGGTGAAATCTATAATATCTGAAGATTAATTAATTCAGTTTTATGAATATCAAAGCAAAGTGTCTACCAGGTTTTTTGGGGTGGTTGGGTCCACCCATCCAGTATGAGCTTCCAGGAGGAAAGATTTTTACATGATAAAACAAGACTTTTTCTGCCCAATTTTCTCTTGATCTCTTTTTTGCAAGCATGCCTGCAGAATTAATAGTGTTTAGCTGAATACATTAGTGACAAAAGAGAAGAATATAGAACCCTGAAGATTTGGTGGTAGATTTTTCCATCCTAGCACAGGAATGAAATGAGTGCTATGAGCAGTACTCTGAGCTGACCCATTAAACTTGGTGATGTAGAACTCTTCAGCATCAGAACTTGAGCACAGATCTGTCAGGTTCTTACTTACAAGTCTACTACCTTTTATTCCAGTAGGGTTTAGATGCCCAAATATTTTAAGGATCTTGTTGTTAGTTATGTCAGTAAAAAGTGAAAGCTAAAGTCTATAAACATCAATATTTTCATCTCATAATAAAGAAGTAAATAATAAATTCTCAATTTGAAGTTTTACTTTGCTAATTTAATCTATTTTTGTATCAGTGTCATGCATAAGACAGTTTATGAAAAATTGATTCATGCATACAGATGTGACATTGAATTTAGCTACTGTAATTGACATTATTATTGTTCTTATCTGAAAATGATGAAAAGTGCTTTCAATTTGATAAGTGTAAAAATCAGTGACATTATTCCATTCAGTTATTAACTCTTTAGAATTGTACTTCATAATTGCATAAGTTTTACCTTGAAAAGAAAAAAGGATTTTCACAATTAAAAAAACTGTCATAGGCTGATAATGTACTTTCATTTTATTACTAAAGGACAGTAGTTAGTAATCAAACAGATACCTTTGTCCTACTGAAGAAGGATTAGGTCTGAGTCTTACTTTTGTGATCATTTGTCACATATGTAAGAGAGACTCTACCCAGGGTAATGGCAAGTGAGAAATTTTTAGTTATGCTTTAGCTCTGCCACCACTATACGTTCATGCCAGTGCATTTCTGCTCTTCTCGTCTTGTCCTCTGTCTGTTAGAGATAGTAATACTCACATCCCATTCCTCTCTTGGAAAGCTTTTGTAGTTTTACAGGAAAAAGCAGTCTGAAAGATTGTTATTATTACTCAGATGAGGAAGAAGTCTCAGAATGTATATGAATTTGCAGGTCCAAGGATTTCATTTTGTGTTCAAACTCCCACTGATCAAAGTAGTTTTGAGTTTGACTGCAAGCAAGAGCATGTCCTGTATATAATAAAAATATAAAACAAGCATGAAGAATAGAGAACACACTATTTTCTCTGTTCTGTCTTACACAGGTATGATATGGTCTGAATGTAAAGAAATTTGGTCTCAAGGTCCAAAGGAATACCTGTTTGAGTTATGGAATATGCTTGATTTTGGTATGTTAGCAATTTTTGCAGCATCATTTATAGCAAGGTTTATGGCATTTTGGCATGCATCCAGAGCCCAGAACATTGTTGATGCAAATATGAAAGATCTGACAAGTCCAACGCTGGAGCCCAACATAAAATACTACACCTTGGGTGAGTTGATTGCTCACTTACTGGGCCAAAAACAAAGTGATTTTCTTTTAATAAGTCTCCAATACCATAATTTCATTATGTAGTACTGAAGAAATTCCCACTGCTTCTCTTTCTTATCCTTATTGCAAGTTGAACATGAGCCAGCAGTGCCCTGGCAGCCAGGAGGGCCAACCCCGTCCTGGGGGCATCAGGCACAGCATGGCCAGCCAGGCAAGGGAGGGGATTGTCCTGCTCTGCTCTGCTCTGGGGCAGCCTCACCTGCAGTGCTGGGGCAGTTCTGGGTGCCACCATATAAAAAAGACATTAAACTGTGGGAGAGTGTCCAAAGGAGAGCAATGAGGATGGTGAAGGGCCTTGAGGGGAAGCCATATGAGAAGCAGCTGAGGTTACTTGGTCTGTTCAGCCTGGAGGGGAGGAGTCTGAGGGGAGATGTCACTGCAGTTGCAGCTCCCTTGGGAGGGGAAGAGGAGGGGAAGGCACTGATCTGTTCTCTGTGGTGACCAGTGACAGGACCTGAGGGAATGGCCTGAAGCTGTGTCAGGGTAGGTTTAGTTTGGATATCAGGAGAAGGTTCTTCACCCAGAGGGTGTTTGGGCACTGGAACAGGCTCCCCAGGGAAGAGGTCACAGCACCAGCCTGGCAGAGGTCAAGAAGCATTTGGACAACTCTCAGGCACATGGTGTGACTCCAGGGGATGGGGCTGTGCAGGACCAGGAGCTGGACTCAGTGATCCTCATGGGTCCCTTCTGACTCAGTATGTTCTGTGATTCCACTATTGGATCATAGTTCCCCTGGCTGCGTTTGCAAATCTTTTTGTAGACTGTTCTAGACAGCACTGAAATGAACTAATATCAAAATAAATTCACTGTCACCCACACCTTTTCTAGATCATTTTAATCTATTCAAATATGCAAGTGTCCTGCAAACCAGTCTGCGGTGCTGCAGCTTTGCATGGAATGTACTGTAATGCAGGGACAGAACTGAGCAATGAGATGCAGGAAGTTCATAAACCAGTATTATAAGCCAGTATATCTTTTATATATTATTTGCTCAGAGACTCTGTTATATTTCTTTAATATTTCTCAATTCATGCTCTTTACCAGTAAGAGATAAAAATGTTAAGAAACTTGCTTGGGATATTTGGGAAGTTCTAGAAGATATTTTGCCCAAATGAGGAAAAAATGAAGCACTGTTGACTTGTGTTCACTCTCAACACCATCCCATCTCTCTTACCATTATTAGATATTTTTCTCTAGGTACTAAATTACATCAGCTTCTGTCTTTATTCTGCACTTCAGATACTATTTCTGAAAAGGTTGCATTTTTGTGTTATCTAGACTGCAGAGAAGCAGAGCAATTAAAATGTATATATTCTGAAACGCATTAAATTGTAGTCTTATAAATTTTAGTTGAAAATTATACATTTCACATAAGTCCTAAAAACAACTAGTTGAGGCATTTTTTTTCATGTATACATGTACACTGAAGTCTGTTTGAAGAGCATCTGTGTATGGATGGTATTAGTAGTGAGTATTTAATGCCAGGTTTTTTCATAGGGTAGCAAACATAACTTGATGGACATGAGCCTGTGCAGCAAAGAAGGCCAGTGGTATCCTGGGTTAGATTAGGCAGAGCACTGGCAGCAGGTGGTCCAAAAAGGCCTCCCATAGATAAGAACATGTTATACTGACAGGAATTCTCATCTTTTCTTTCCAGCCAGAATAAACTGGGATCCATCTGATCCTCAGATCATTTCTGAAGGGCTGTATGCAATTGCAGTGGTGTTAAGTTTCTCACGGATAGCCTACATCTTACCAGCTAATGAAAGCTTTGGTCCACTGCAGATATCACTTGGCAGAACCGTGAAAGACATCTTCAAGTTCATGGTGATATTTATCATGGTGTTTGTGGCTTTCATGATAGGCATGTTTAATCTCTATTCCTACTATCTGGGGGCAAAACAAAATGAAGCGTTCACAACGTAAGTACAACTGATTAAATTGTAACCTTTATTTTCTTAACAGTAACTCTAAATGTTCTTTGCAATTTTACTGTATTTTTGGGTGTTGGGAACTAGGATCTCTTTATCAAAGCAAGAGAAGATAAGTCTTCAAACAGATGGAGATAAATAGGAAAAAGTACCTCAGAGGTTTGGACTTATGTTTATTTATAAACTGATCAGGGGGAAATAAATGCATTTAAATTAACTAACCTGAAAAAAAAAATCACTATTTCCACACCATGACTTTACCCCGGAGTTGTGGAATAGTAAAAACTCAGCTGGAAGATTATGGTGCATAAGGTAAATTTTTTTGAAAAATGATGATTTGCCATCAGACATCCTGTCTTCTTTATAGTTTCGGAATATTTGTCATATTAATGGTGAAATAATTCCCAATAAGTGAACTAATGGTGCAATTTAAATAATTTACAGCTTAATTATTTTTTAAATTTATTTTCATATTAAGAGCAAGTTTGTAGCATGTAGATTAAAGTAGTTTACAAATGAATCATTGTAATATTCTTTTGAGGATGGATATATGATTCCTAAAACCATCTGATCTGAATCAGATGATTTTATTGTTAGTCCTGAGTGTTAGGAATCTTGTATTATGAAACAGCCTGTACCCATGAAATTAGACAGTCTGTTTTTATGCACTGAGATGGAGTTCAAAATTATAATAATGGAAAAATTTGTACACTGTATAAAAATGATAACTGGCAATTTCTACAATTCTACAAATTTCTATATTCTACAAAGAATATACAGCTTTTCTTCAATAACATGTGCATGTGTCCAATTTCTCCTTTTAGTGTTGAAGAAAGTTTCAAAACATTGTTCTGGGCTATATTTGGACTTTCAGAAGTTAAATCAGTTGTTATCAATTATAAACACAAATTTATTGAAAATATTGGTTATGTTCTTTATGGAGTCTATAATGTCACCATGGTCATCGTCTTACTGAACATGCTTATTGCAATGATCAACAGTTCATTCCAGGAAATTGAGGTAAAAAGTCCATTTATGCTGAAATATCACCCTATTTACTGTTCCAACTAATTGTCTCAGGCTCCTGGGAAATTTTCTTATTGACATCTGATTTAAGACAAGTACCACATAAGCTTTTGGAATATTTTAGAAGAAAATATTAATTCCACTGTTCCTATTTATTGTACAATACCTGGCAATTACTTGGCTGAATGCCCTTGCAATAGTAAGAACCAGACGGGAATAAGAAACTACTGGTGAACAGTGTAATGTTCCTGAAGAGTATGGGCTGTATGGTGTGACTTTGTGAAGCTTTCATTTGCCTTATTTGTAATTACTTGATAAGTGTCCTCCTAGCTGCAAAGATGTTCTCTTTCCTGTGCCTCAACCTTGCAGACAGGTCTCCAGCATGCTGTGTTCTTCTTTCATTGAAGCAAGTGTTGCTCTAGACCTCTGCAGTGAACAAGACTTTACTTGGCAAAGTAATCCAGCATGACCTTTTGCATTGCATGGAAAATCCAGCATGACCTTTTGCATTCCATGGAAAACAGAGGGCTAAATAATTATCACTGTTTAGGAGAAAAGTAAGCAGATTTCCAGGAGCTGGGCCATCCCAGACTTTCCTAGGAGATGCTCTTGCCAAAGCAGCAAACTCAGGTTTGACTCCACTTTGGTCCCACTTTGGTCCCTTTGGGCTCTGACTGTGGCCCATAGCATTGTCAAGCTGGAGCACTCTCTAGGGACATTCGCATTCTTCTGGATCAGGAGGCCACAGGGCAAATCTATCAGGTTTGGAGCATTAAAAATACAGTGACTGGACAAAACAGCCTCTGAGAAGAGGTACAGCCATATTGAGTTATGACTTTGAACTGATGTCAGTCCTTTCTGCAGAAAACCCTCCTAAACTTTACAGGAGGAATTAAATGGAGTGTTTTGGTGATCATAAATGATAAACATAAACCATGGTGATGATAGTGTATCTGGTTTAATCATATATTCCAAAAAATTAAAGGAATTAGGTAAAAATCACCTCATATTTTTTAACTTAATTTTTAAAGTAATAGAGTCTATAGACTAGTAATAGAGTCTGTCACTGTGATCCTGTATTGCAGACTATTAGCACTCACTCTGGAATAAACAATATTCAGATAAATTCCATTCTGTTCTTCTGCAATTCATTATTTTAAATGGATTAATAAGAACAGTTCAATTCATTGAAATTTTGGTTTTCATAAATTTGATCTCTTTGAGATTTACTTCAGCCAATTATGTTTAAAACACACATGAAATTTAGCTAGAGCATCTTCAATAGTCAAAGTGGCATTAACAATGTCTTAACTGCTGTGTTTCTGTTTTACAGGATGATGCTGATGTAGAATGGAAATTTGCAAGGGCTAAACTTTGGTTTTCCTACTTTGAAGAAGGGAGAACTCTTCCAGTACCCTTCAACTTAGTACCAAGCCCAAAATCTTTGCTGTATCTCCTAATCAGAATAAAAAAATGTATTTCTAAGCCATTTTTGTGCCAAAAGAAAAGCTTTCAGGAAGATGCAGAGATGAACAAGGTAATTTTTTCTTGTATATACTGACTGCTAAGTTTAGAAGATAAAGTCAATTTTAACTTCATTTTTATTATTGCCCTGCTTTATTAATGAATTTCCCAACATACTTAACTCATATTGAATCAGTCACTAATGTGGGAGAATAAAATAGAATAAAATAGAATAGCATAGAATAGAATAGTTACAATACGTGTAAAAGTTCAGGTCCAATGACATCTCCTGCTTTCCCCCTATCTGCAAGTCGTTTTATCTCAGAATGCCATCTAGATGGTCAAAGACATCTTACTTTTCATAAATACACACCTACTTTTTCCATTCATCATCTGTTCTTGCATTTGCTCCAAGAAGTTTCATTTTTCACTGCATTATTTTGCCAGTTACTGAAGGGAGGTTGAGTGGCCCAGGGTTGCTGGGATCATAATTTTGACCTTTTTTGAAGATGGATCTGACATTTGCCTTTCTCCAGCTTTTGGGGACCTCTCCCAATACCCATGGTCTTTCAGAGATGATAGCATATTTACAGGGGGTGCATCTGCTCTCTCAGATGTACCTGTGGATGTAGCACTCTGGACTTGCCTGAGTAAAGTTCTTCCTATCTCCTCGAATTCCTTCACTAAGCACAGAGGCCTGAGAGACAGTTGGTGAAGCCTGAGGCAAAAAAGGCATCAAGTCCCTCATTCTTACCTTCATCCAGCTGTCACTTAAATCCCTTTTCCCACTGCCAATAGTCCTGCATTTTCCTTGTGCTGCCTTGCATTGCTGTTATAGCAATAGTTCTTACTGCCCTTACAAATGTCAGCTTAAGCCAAGCTTTGGCTTTCCTAATGCCACCCTCACATGCCTGGGCAGTTTCCAAAGTTCCCCCTTGGTAGCCTGTCTCTGCTTCCACTGAAAATGCCCCTTCCTTTTATTGTAAAATATTTTGTTACCCGTTTTACTTACACAGCTTCAGTAAAAAGCACTTGAGTTGATTCATTTGACTTGCTTAGTTTGTAGTCAGTATATTTTTCCTGCACTGTCTCGCTATAGATCATTTCAATTGCTTTAAGATCATTTCAATTGCTTTAGAAAAACATGGAATTGGTTGGTATTGGAAATGTAAAGACTGGCACTATTCTAGCACTATTGTAATGTGTTAGGGAAGAAGAGTTGTGCAAGGCAGCTGATCACATGTAGTGAGTAGAAAGGTGAGCATATGCTAACATACAGAAAAAAAAAAGAATTTGTCATGGCGGAAAAACAAAATTTTCTTCAATGGAAATTTAAGTGTGGAAGGGTCTTTGATAAAATGGGCTGTGGTCTGAGCAAAGACCTGTTCAAGGTTAGGAGTTTTTGAGTCTGTAGGCAAAAGCCATTAGTCATTAGACTGGGGACCAGTAAAGAATTTACATGCATCTGTCAGTTCTCTGTCATCAATGTGACCAGCACATTTTTCACACTTATTAGCTGAAGAGTAAAAGAGAAAAAATGCTCACAATCGTAGAAAGAAAAAATGGACTTTTAGGGAAAAATCCTGTGCCTCTGGGTAAGTATATACAGTTTATGAAAACAAATATAGGTATTACAAACACTGTTATCAAAGTCAAAATTGTTATTAAGTTCAAGTGTTTCATCTCTATTACCAGTAATTCTTCTAGTGTTTCACAGATCTCACTTCATTTTATTTGGAAAATCTAATCCTAATTTAGGACCTAATGGAAATGACACATGCATTTGCTCAGGTTTTTAATGAATCTGACATTTGCAAAACTTTTCTTCAAGCTGCCTGATGCAACCCAATTTTAAAACCTCTGTGAGTGATAAAGCCATCACTAAAATATTGCACATTTGAGGAGATGCATATAAAATTAAAATTGAATGGTGTTGGAAAACAACAAATGGTTCTTTTTCTAATTCACTTTGTGAATTTGAAAAGCACATAAGTAGGTTACAAGCTTGTCTAATGACTTTTTAGGTGAAATTTATGTTCCCATAAAACAGCTACTCTTATAAGTCCCATTTATACAGACTAAGGAAAGAAGATGTATTTTTATCATTCCATTCAAACCTAGCAATTCATGTTTTCTAGCATGTTTCTAGAAAGGTGCAAAATGTAAGAATTACCAGTTCTACATAAAACAGGTGCAGGTTTGTCAGCTTTTACAGCAGTCCCTCTGAAAGAGAGCTGTAGGGATGCAAACATTGTTTATCAGATTTTTTCCTAGCACTGAATTAATTTTAAGTCTTCAAATATTAATGCTTTACACTCAGTTTAGATTTTAGTATAACTAATCCTAAATGAATGTGCTTACTCTGCAGCCAAAGCAGCTATAAAACTGCAAATCAAATTTAAAAAAAACCACTTTTACATTGACAAACATAAAGCGTCTGAGTTGTATTTATTCATTTCTCAGGTTTTGCAGCAGATACTGGCAGATGATTACATTTTTACTTACCTTTTGGGCTTCTACATGCTGAATTTATCTGAATCCACGAGTTATTGCCCTCCTGTGCACTTGCAAGAAGTAGCTAAAGTGGTTTTGTGTTACCTTTTGATCCACTGTTGATGATTCATTATTGTTGAGGCTGTCATGGCATCTTCTCAAAGGCACTCTCAGGCTTTTGGGATTTTGACTTTTGATTTGCTTAGTGCTGAGTGGGTTGATGCTGCTATGACTGCTGAGCAAGGAGCTACCCATGCAGGGAGCTTCTATAAATAAAATGAGGTGTGGAAAAATAAGGAAAGATTTGGCAAGACCAGACCCAAGACTTGATGGCTGTATTTGTGCTAGTATAACATGGGTCGCTTATCTGGGTATTGAGGAATGAATTCCATTCCAATTCAGGAATGGATTGCCCCTATTCAGGTAGTTTTCCTCACAAAATAGGAAACCTCTTGTCCTCAAACATTCCAGTTGCCAAACTGTGCCTAGGAAAATAGAAGGTTGTTCTGGTGTGAGTCCTACCTGGGAGGACAGTAAAAGTTTACTGGTGGAAGACATTGCATTGCAGTACCCAGTAATGTTAACACACACTGGAGTTCACTGATTCAGACCCAGCCTGTGGGTTGCAGCTTCAGAGTGAGTGGGAAGACAAGAATTAGGGTGGGAAGAAAGGAAATGCTGCTCCTAGATCCAGCTCTGCCCTGGTTATTGCTAGCAGAAAACGAAGCCAGATGCTGTCAGTGCTAAACAGCAAGTAATTTTCATAATGTTCAAAGTGTAGTGCACCAGAAATTAATTTTCTGAGACATATCTAAATACAATAGTAAAGACTGTGAAGATCTTTTCTTTCAGGCTGTTGATTAAAATCCATAGATTTCTTGTTTCAGGCTAGTATTGGCATTTTAAACATCAGTTGAGTGAGAAACTCAAACCAATAAAAAGGAATAAAAAATGAAAGAAAAGGAGAGTTTTTTAAAAAAAAAACTACTTTGACTACTGTTCTAAATTTTAAAATTGCCTTGGGATTGAGAAAATTTATTGCTCAAGTGTCACAGAACTTGTTCATCTTCCTGAGCTAAGAATCAGCAGTGAGAGGTTATATATTTAAATTTTGTTCATTAAACATGGCCCTTCAGAAAAGAAGTAAGGAACAACTATTTATTGAAGTATCTTTAAGACCTCAATCAAACAAGAAAAATATGTTAACTTTAACTTTCCTAGTGTAAAACATTATTTCTGAAGTTTTCACGAGTGATGTCTGGTTGTAGGAGCACAAATTGAGTCACTTTCTGGGAGCACTCCTTTTTGATCCAAGAAAGTACAATTTTTTGGAATTGCAAGTTGACAGCGGCTTCTGATTTAAGACATTAATATAAAGTGTTAAAAAAAACCCCACCAAAAATAATTTCATTACAATTCTGATTGCATTGAATTTTAAGTAATACAAGAGAATAATGAAATGAGAAGCAAGTTTAAAGATGAAGGTGTTTTCAAAGAACAAACATCCATATATCCTGCATTTCATATTTCACCTATAAGAAGAGTTATTTTGGTTGGGATTTATATCATTATTTTATTTAATTTACATCATTTCCCCTCTGGTTACTCATATTCAATAAATGTTGACTTGAAAATATGAATTCTAGGTCAGTCACCAATGTGACAGGCTGAGTGCACTCTAGCAATTGTTTTGGAGAAGGAAAAAAGCCATAGGCATGAAGCTTAAAGAGAGTTTAAAGAGAGCTTAAAGAGAGTTAAAAAATGTTAAATGTGATAATGAAATCTTGGCAGTCTCTGCCACCAAGTGGTCATTCAGCAACCTACAGTGGATCTCGTGTCCTGTTACTGGTACACATAGAAAATCTAAAGAAGTTACTTCTGATTTGCCTGCCAACTTTCAAGGTGGCTAATTAAAAGTAAATTATTATCTTAAAAACTGTGCTGGAGGGTGAAGGTTAACATAAAGGCAATACAGTGTGCCTGGTTCTACAAGTTTGCAGTGTCATAACTCATCTCTCCACATCTTACCAATTTTGCTATTTCAAGTGAAAATCAAATTGTAATTGAGCAGTGGATTAACTTTTGAAGCGAAACAATGTAACATAAGTTGGAAACTGGTAACCAGCATGACATATTGCTTTTAAAAGATGTAATAAAATACATAGTAAATACCCAAGGCAACATCGCTCTGCTGCTGCAGAGAAAGCGTGATCTTACTCTTATTCTGTTATAAAATGGTGCATGAGAAATCCAGGAGCTGAAATAGCAGGAAGATTGTTTTCCTCTTTTAACCCAATATTGTAGATGAGGCCCAAGAGAGTATAATTCGTTCTAAAATCTTGAAAAACACAGTGATTGCATAGTGATTGTGTAAACTCACTAGCCATTACTTTTTATTATAACTCAGATACCTAGTTTAAGTTAAAACATTTTGATAAGATTATACTTTCTAATATACATAAAAATATCTGAAGTAGCTTTATTCAAGCACAAAAAATAGCAACTTGACTTTTTTATACATGCCCGTCCACACGTAGATTAATATATAAGAGAAATAGTAGTTGTTTTATATGTTTTACACTGTTTCTTTTATCATTACTTTTGCTTAGTCAAATAAACATAGATTGAATAGACAATCTTTTTTTTTTAAAGTATGGACAAATAGATTTGTGAATCTTTCTGAAGAACAAGAAATTCCCAAATTCATTGTACACTTTATATTGATTGCTAATGAATATATTCTACCAAAAGATTTAATCAATTTTTGATTCAAAATACAAGCCTAATAGAAGGTGACCCTTCCAATGGCAGGGACATTGCACTACCTGTTTTCAGATGTCCCTTCCAACACAAACGATTCTGTGATTCCATGGAATGCTAAACAAAATCTATAGTACTTAAATAATTCCCAGTGTGCAGCTGTGTAAGCGTCAAATCCTGCCCTATTTTTGTCCCCAACAAATTATATCCCACAGACACTTAACAGGCTTTAAAGTGCCCCAGTCTGCTTCTCAGTAGGTTGTCGATATATCAGGACACAACATGGAGAGGTTCAATGGAAGGACAAAATGATCCCACAGGATTTGAGACACTGCACTGATGGTCCCGTCCTTTGAAAGAGTAAAAATTCTGTTAGACCATGTGTAATTTCAGGGAACTGAATTTTTAGTGACAGTCCCACTTATTCCTCATCCAGATCCATCATGATTTATATTTCTCGCACTGCTTTTTGTTGAACTGGCCCTGCTCTTTATCTGAAGTAATACCATTTTTTTTTGCAGTTTCTGTTCACTCTTACTGCAGCCCAGTCATTCACCTTGAGTCCCAGTTCAGCATTTTGTGATGCCTTAGGTTTTTTGTCATAGGATATATACATGAAATATACATATTGATCTGTTATTTATTTTGTACTATAAATAATGTTTCTGTTTCAGCTTGGTCAAAGGAAGCAATCGAGTATCAGAAGTTCAGATGAAATCCACTTAAACAGTTTAAACAATCCTCCAAGACAATACCAGGTAAAAACCAGTTTATTTTTAAACAAAATCAAACAAACTGGCAGACTGATGGCATGAGGACAGTTTTGAATTTATGCTAAATAACATGAGTCAAGAATAAATCCACAGACCTTGTATATATCAGAAATAAATGAAATTGTTTAGGTATTTGCAGCACAATTTAAGGGTGTTTTTCACTCCTCTTTGTTTCTTAAATGGTGCTCTTGTAATGTAATGTATTTATGTGCTTTAGAAAAATGTTTTTAATTTTAGAGTTGAGTCCTCAACTGCACAATGTGAACTGAGAAATCCAAAAATAAACCCAAAATCTTTCCATTCCATTTGCTGAAGCAGATCAGCTTATTTGGCACATCTCTACATACAAATGCCTCAAGCACTGCAAGTGTCTGTCAGCCTTTATCCTATCAATGCAGTCTGTTTTTCCTTTACCTCCTAAACAACTGCAATGAGCCTTTGTGCAGTTAAGTATAAAGAGACCCAGCACAGTCCACATAAATCTCAGCTATTCTGGTCCAGAGACTGCTTATTTCCTTCTTGTAATACTACAAAGTTGATGGAAAGGAAAAAGCAAGAGCTGCCTGGGCAATATAAAAAGACAAGCTGAATGAAAAAAGGTACAGAAAATTAGTATACTTTATTGACCACAAGAGAGATTTTCCCTTGGGCAGGCTAGCTCCACTCCACTTTTATGTTATGCAATGTCTACAGGAGTCTGTTCCAAAAACTCCCTCACTTTTTCATAGCCAATTTCATTATGATGCAGGGATAGATACTAGGATTAAAAATCTACCCCATAAACATGTAGTGTGGCTTTGTATTTGAAACATTCTTGGATTATTATAATAAACAGTACAGCAGTTGACCTTGCAAGCTGTGACTGTAGTGATGGCCTGGGACCACTAATCTGGGATGACTCTCCTCAAAACCAGCTCTGGTCAGCTCTATTATTGTGGAGACAAAAGTGGATGTATAAATCTATGAATGTTTTCTATCTTAAAATGGAAACTAAGAAGTATTGTGTTGTCATGGACTACACCCTATGAAAATATTAAACCCAAAGGCAGAAATACATATCCTAAAATGTACTTGGATACCATGTTCTTTTTAAAGTAATTTGAACTGTTGGGAGAATCAGGGCCAGAATTCATTTTTTCCTGGAAAGGTAAAATTTACAGTAAATTTGCTGGCCTAGATTCCCCTTATTATTCGCAGAGAGGTTGGTCATTCTCATGGTATAAGCTATTTGATCAGTTTTAGTTGTCTCAGATGAGCTATGCTCTCAGGTTTGCTCATTTTATTCATAGCAGGAAATAAAGGTGACAGATATGTATATTTACATTATAAAGTGTCTGTCTTTGGTTAGATGAGTCCCAGCTGAGACACTTAAATAACTTAGAATTTTGAATCCCATTTTCTTTAGGCAAGTCCTACACTGAGAAAACATAACTTAGCAAATATATCAAAATAGGTACAAATAAACTGACAACAAAAGGATTTAGCAGGTAGCAGTGCTAAGCAGGCTCATTATAATTTTTGGGTAGCAATAAAGGCCAGGTGGCTTCATCTACTTGGAGATCAAAAGTGCAACTGTATTAATAGTTCTTACAGGCTCCAGGAGTAGGTTAAAGCTAATGAATTATAACATTCATAAGATTGTCTTCACTAAGGTATTTGAATGCAACAGAAGGTAACAGAGGTGTCATAATTTAACCCATCTGTCAACTAAGTACCACAGAGTTGCTTACTCACTGCCCCCACAGGAGGAGAATCATAAAAGGTTAAACTTGTGAGTTGAGATAATAATACTTCACTAATTTAAATAAAACAAAAAAATAGTAGTAGTGGTAGTAGCAGTAGTAATGAAAAGGAGAGATAGAGGAACAGTGATCACCTCTCAAGGCCAAGCCCCCCCCCCAGTTTCTATATTGGGCATGATGCTCTATGGTATGAAATATTCCTCAGCCAGCTTGGTTCAGCTGTCCCAACTATTCTCCCTCCCAGCTTCCTGTGCACCTGCTCAGCAGCAGAGCAGGAAGCATTGAAAAGTCCTTGCCTTTGGGTAATCACTGCTCAGCAACCTAACATACCAGTGTGTTATCAACACTATTCTCATACTAAACCCAAAACTCACACTGTACCAGTTACTAAGGGGAAAATGAACTCTGTCCCAGCTGAAATCAGTACAAGAGCTCTTACTTTGAAAAGTCATAACAATACTAGTCCAACTAAGAAAACTCTTTTTTGCTTTCTTTGTTTCTTCTCTGCAGAAAATAATGAAGCGTCTTATTAAAAGATACGTCTTGAAAGCTCAGATAGATAAGGAAAGTGATGAAGTCAATGAAGGTGAGTATGTTGATGAATTGTATGTTTCATCAGAGAATCAAAACAGACTAAAGTGGTTACATATTTCCAAAATACTTTATTCAATTCACATGTTTGCAAGTGCAAGAGGTAAAATTAACATGCTTTTGATGAGGTGATGGGATTTATGTCTCTGCTCTCCTGTGAAAAACTACTACTGATCTGACAAGCATTAAAATGTGTTGCTACATGTGTAATAATAGAATCATAGAATAGTTTGGATTGGAAAGGCCCTTAAAGATCATCTAGTTCCTTAAAAATCTGGTGGGCTGGGCAGTGCTGGATTAATGATTGGATTCAGTGATTTTAGAGGTCTTTTCCAACCTAAATGATTCTGTGACTATGATCCTGTGATCTCTCTTGCAGCAGAACAGCATCTTCCATTAAATACATCATGTGAGTTTTGTGAACTCGTGGTCTCTCACACTTTTGCCTTCAGATTTGTTTGATTCCTGAACTGCATCTTCATATTCCTGTCCCCAAGACACCACTCCACTGAGGTTAGCTCAGCTGGTCAGAGCATGGTGCTAATAACATCAAGATTTTGGTTTTAATCCCCATGTGGACCATTCATTTAAAGCTGGATTCAATGGTCATTGTAGGTCCCCTCCAATTCAGACTATCCTATGATTCACCAGCGGGCAGCAGAATGTCTACTTCCTCTGTTTCAACAAAGAAATGCAGAAAAAAAACATAATTGTGAGATATTTGGGTATGCTGGTTTTTTTCTTTTGTTTCTTGATATTGTGATCTTTTAAAATCTGTTACAGGTGAATTGAAGGAAATTAAACAGGACATTTCAAGTCTCCGGTATGAACTCCTTGAGGAAAAATCTCAGAATTCTGAAGATCTGGCAGAACTTATAAGGAAACTTGGGGAAAAACTGTCACTTGACTCTAAGGAAGAAGAAAGCAAGAGATAACCAAAATAAGATATGCAACAGAATGTTAACAATTCACTTAAAGCCATATTTCTGTTTTCCTAAAGTCTAGCTGACATTTCTAAAAAAGATTCAGAAATTAAATCATTCCAATTCTTTATTGAAAAAAATACAGTGGCAAATCCTCTAGGTCTACAGTAGGAAGATCATACCACTTCAGTAAAAATGTTTATTCTTTACCTGCTGAAGAATAGTTGATATGAGATAATTTAAGTTCTCAATTTACCATCTAGAATTCCAGTGGAATCCTAATGAGCTCAATCACGAAAGATTAAAAGCATAGGTCTAAACTTTTCCTATGTTAACTGTTTATTTTTTGCAAATGGCCTTTTGTAACCATTACGTATATTTTAGTGAAGCAAAAGAGAAAAATCCAGGCTTTTATACATATACATATATCAAAAGCTATTTAATTTTTCCAGCATTCCCAACTAGGAAAAAAATTAAAAAAAGCTAACGCCCTTTTTAAAGAATGTGTAGGATATCAAAATAAACTTATGAACGTTTCCATGTAGAGTTAGATATAAGGACACTCAGAGAACTGTGTTGTCCTTTCCCCTACTGATCCCTGTCAGCACTGGACTGTCCTGCAAGGATACCCTGGGTTCCAATGGGAGTTAGTGCATTAGGAAAAAAATATTTTTCACCAAGTTTATTGAAATGCTATTTCTGAGCCTGGGAGGCTGGAAGAAAACCTTCTTTAATCAAAAATAATTAACCCTTGGTGTTCCAATCTGTTTCAGAATTCCCAAGTTCCCCAGCTTTTATGTGTTGAACTGAACCTCCCAAACTGCAGGTTAGGGGTTTGAATGCAACATTTTTATTTGAGGTGGAAGATACTAAAATAGTAGGTGCAAACCTCTCTTTGAATTCTGGGAATGTCATGCATGGGGGACCATGTTTCTCTATGTTAAACCTGTTTAAATTATTAAATTTTCTTTGGACATATGGATAGCAAACAAAACAATCTTGTTGAAAAAAATAATGAAATCTCATCTTCTATGGATTTGCATCCCTCGTCCTTTTTTTCCACTGGTGACAGCTCAGCTCTTGTGCTGTATTCTTTAGGACTCTTTTAATGAAGAATCTTCACTCCACATGGTAAAGAAAGCTCCAACACTTTCACCCTGCCCACTGCAATAGTTAAAATTCTCTTTCTGTTAAACTGCAGATGAGCTATTCCATGCTCTGTCTGGCTGTTTGTTGTGTAACAATGTCCATGTAGGACAGTCAGCTGGTTTCTGTCTTTCCAGATAGAAACAGCATAAATTCCATGTAATTTTTCCTTGATTAATACAGTAATTTGTGTTTCTCTTTTTGGACAGTCACTAATTCTGGAAGTGTTATAAACATACATTACATTGGGCATCTCTGCTTCTCTTTAAGCCTTTTTTTTTTTTTTTTTTTTTTTGAGATTAGTGAAAGGGCTGTGAAAAATTATCACATGGCAACCAGGTGTATAACACACCTATAAAAGACTTGTATGAAACAAGACTTAAAAAGGCTTGTCAGTAATTGCTTTAAAATTAGCTTTGTGAAACTTAATTACTGTGGAATGTATTATAATGTTTCTGCCTTTCCCTTTTAGGCTGGAGATTATTTTTATTTGGTCTAGATTAATTTCCAGCTGGATTTATTGATAGTTCTTTTTTAAAAATTGTTGATGGAATCACTGTGTATTTTCAGGGAAAAAAGACATATTAGAAAGGGTTTTGAAATCACTTGGAGACAGGTAGGGGACTGAGGACAGCCTGCCCTGTGAGTGTTTGTCATGCTTTGGAGGAAGATCTTGGCACGAGAGTTTAGCCACAAATGGAGTATGGGGAGCAATGAGTGTCCTGTGGGCCTCAGGTGCAATGAACTCAGGGTTTAGAAACTTCTAAGGCTTCTTCCTCTGAGAGAGAAGGAGGAAAGTGAGGATTCAAAGGTAGTAGAGCACAGGCAACTGGTGTGACCTTAGGCTGGAAGGCAGTGTGATGGTAACTTCACGGCCTTTTGGCTCCTGGATGGTCCCTGGCCATCTCCCTTGGGCAGGACTGGCCTCTGAATTGAAGTTCCACCTGTATTTTGGAGTATTTTGGAGTATTTTGGACCTGGTTTTCTGAAACAGTGGGCAGCTCATTCAGCTCCACTGAAGGGCTGTGCTAGAGGCCATGCTGCTCAAAGCACATCTTCCATCTGAGAGAAGCTCCTCAGAAAATTAATTGGTCAGGATCAGAGGTAACAGGATCAAGGACAGTCAATGTTCACTTTCAGTAATCAGCAGTCTTAATTTTTGGTCATTGTAATACACAATTTGGATCTGCTGTAGTGCTCGTTGATGGTAAACCCTCACTCTCCATAAACCCAGAGAGAGGAAATACAAATACACAATTTGAGGTCCAGGCACTTTTAAAGTGAAGATTTTTATTACAGAGGTAAAATGTACACTGTGAATTTGTTTAAACCCAAAATTTGATGTACCTTAAAACTATAAGATCATAATGTATATATTGTATTTCATGAAGAAAATACATATGAATTTTTTAATCATTGAAGCTATTTTATATGTAGTTATTACTCATGGAACAATTTGTTAAATATATTTGAAGAGGTCTATTGCCAAATGTAGTGTGACAAGCAATGTAGTATTTAAAATGAGCACAATACCAAATATATTATCCTGATTAAAAAAAAATTAAATGTACCAGACTAAAAATGCCTTTGTGATCCATTGAATGAACATTTTGGTATTTCATTGGGAACCTTTGGCTGCTCCCACTTGGAAGACTGATGTGGTAAAAAACTTTCATTTGCTAACAACACTAATATTAAAAAAAACATTTCAAAGAAGTCTTTTCACACTTAATTAGACTCAAGACCAAGTATTTTTTCTCCTGTGACTGTGCCTGATGCTAGATGTTTCAGAGCAACTGCAGCAACATAATTGTCACCTTACATAGTTCTCCTTTTGGTTTCTAATAAAACAATAATTTGATCAGAAAGCATTTCCAGATTTTTTTGTGAATTATTAGGATAACAAGATAGACTTGCTACCTACTTAATTGTGTCTTTAAATCTTGTTAATTACTTGAGCTGAGCAATTCCATTTCTGTAGCAGCAGCTTCCACATCTAAACTAGACCTGCTATGAAGTATTGCATTTATATACAATTTTTTTCCCCCTGAGTATTTCTTAAACTTGAATTATGAAATATGGAGAGTAAATTTCATCATCCCTTAGAGAATCTCCTTTCTGTTTCACCCAAATGTATTTCACTAAAAGGTATGGAAGGACTTGAGAACTTCTGAAGATAAGACGATGAAGTAAGAAAATCCCCAAATCAATGTCTGTCCAAGGTTTTCTCACACTATTCTGGATGAAACAGAATCATATCTAAATATTGAGAAAAAGCTTTTACATCATGGAGGACTGGAAATTTTATTAGAGACCAATCATGCAATGCAAGATTTACAGTGACAGATGCTGAGAAAAAGCTACAGGATTTCAAATTAAGATTCTGACATTCCAGGTAAAAATCTGCTGCATTCCACCATATTTTAGAGCACCAACAGATCAAGCCAGTGAATGCTACTGGTTTTAGAAGTGGAATCTACAGATTCATCTGATTTTAGATGACAGCCATGAAGACGTATGCAACTGAGCTTGTCTAGTCTTTCTTTGTGTTCAGTGTCATCTTGTGGTAGACAAGCATCCCAGATGAGTCATACAGTAGAAGTGACCATTTATCTCCTGCTACTGTGAAGAAGCCACTGTAGCTGTTAGCAACATTTCTATTGAGGTGTGAGAAGTCCCAGCTTGTCAGAAATCAGCACCCAGCTCATGAACACTGCAAGGCCATGAACCATCACAAATGATCATCTCTTTGGAAGGGCTTGAACTGATGAGGACAGTCACTGAGAGGGGCAGGATCTAACTTGTTTTCCCAAGAATCCAGCCCATCCCCCAGGGATGGTGGATGAGTTGGGTTCTTCTTTGCTCTGCACCAACATTTCATTTTTCCTTCTTCATTAGAGCTGTTGTGGGTCAGCATAAACAAAACCACCCATTAACCAAATCTACCACAAATGTGAGAAAAACTCTGTTACAGAGCACATGGCAACTAAATTCTTGTTGACAAACCAGGACCTATTTATGATAAAGAGAAGTTCATTCTCATGTCTTAGTATATTGGGGTGAGCATATATTTTCAATAATATGTTTTCAAAGCTTAAAATACACTGCTTGATCTTGGCAGTACTTCAGCTATAGCAGCTGTATCTTGTAATTTACTAAGAACATGTTCTCATGACTTCTGTGTCCCAAAATGCAGTTTAGTACAACAAAATCTTGCATTTGCTTCTTAGAGATTTCCCTCAGGCTTGAAATTTCTATCTGAACATTATAATTAATACATTACAAACCACGTAATCTGAAACAGTACTCATTTGCAGCGCAGAAGAAATTGTTCTTATAGTGTAAATTGCTAGTTTTTCATGTAAATATTTAACGCTTTTTAAAATTTGTTAGAAACTGCCTGGTGTGAATAATCTATCTAAGTACTTATGTTCCTTCTTAAATTTTAATTTGGCTTGTGGAAAATGGAATTCACAAAGTTTGTGCTTGGAAAACTACTTGAGCTTCAGAAGCCATATCAAAACAGAAGTTAATCAAGGCTGAGGTGTGTACCTTAAGCTCTATGCTCTTAGAAAGCCAAGGAATCCCATGCACTTTTCTTCCCTGGTATATGAGTAACCTCAAAATATTTCTTTTTTTCCTTTTGTTTCTAGTTACAATGAGTACTTCAAAATATTTCACTTATTCTCTTGTTTCAATTTTTGCAAAAAGCCAAATTTCCCATTCCTCTTTCTGTTCTTGTCACTGTCACTGTCACCATACGACAGTGCAGTAGGGATCAGTGCTTTCTCTGTCCAAGGAGATGTATTTTAGTAGTATTTTGTTTTGTTTTAATCTTTTGAATATTCTGTGATTTAGCTCCTTCACATTTACACTTTGCTCCTTTAATCAATGGAACTCCAATCAAAGTAATGGAAGAAGATCAGTTCATATTGTAGTCAAAGTAAAATGCAGCAGATAAATAATTATCAATGTTAATAGCAATTTTTTTATGCTCTTTTATATATGAACACTTTTATACCATTCTGATATTTAATTGTGCTTTATAACAAGTATATTCTAGCAGGTTTGCAAAGGGCATAAATAAAGTGACAAACAGTCCAAAAACTTTTTGTTAGTAGGCAAAACCTACTCACTCTCAAATACAAATAGATGTATTTTCCTATGACCCTTGTTAAACCAGCTCAAGTCTCTCTACTTCAGCTTCTTCATTTGTGCCAGGAGAAAATTATACTAATTTATGTCAATATGCTCAATTAAGTAGTTTGAGGAATTAACAAAGAGAAAACATCAGTTCTTTCTCAAAGGGAGTATTTTATTGTTTTCAAAGAAGATTTTGTGTAACTTTACCAGAACTCCAATGATGTAATCAACTTCAGTAGAGAAAACCCATGGGATTTCATGAGTTAATGTCTTCACTGCAAAAGGCACTGCTATGGGTTTGTTCTTTAGAACTGCTGTTCTAAAAGTTCCAATAGGGACATTCACTGAGTCTCTCCTGTCTGTAGCCCAATTTATTCAGTCCCTCCATCTCCTAATGGTAAACCGAGGCTCTGCAGCTGGGTCACAATATCCTCTTTTGAATGGAGAAATATCAGTGAAACAGTGAATTTTTAAAAATACATACAGCATGGGCAAATCTTTCTGGTGAACTGAAGATAAGGTACAATATCAGGTTGCTATCAAATCATGTTGGCAGTAAAAGATTCAAGACTACTTTATGTGGCTGTGCTAGAGCACATATGGTCTATCCCAACATGTTGATTCTGTTTCTCAAAAGAAAATGTTTCTTCTAGAAATGACTTTGTGCTTCAATCTGTCAGCATAATTTTAGAATTCTGTGAGTTACTTCCCTCTAAAGTGGACATCACACTTTTATTTGAGGAAACCAAACTGCCTGGGACTGCAGTATCAGTGGCTGTAATCCTTCAGCAGAGGCTTCTCTCTTACCCTACAGGAGACCACTGACCTAGTACCATCAAGAGTGTTAAAAAACAGCCCTGGCTATACCAAGAAATATTTCTCTGTATCAGTCTGGAAAGAAATAAACACAAAATCATTCCCAAAGTGCCTATCGGTCTTCTAATGTTGCAAGCTAGCCTGTATTCACTCGTGAATGTTCCATGTGTCTGCAAATTTTGTCCCTTCTGATTCAATATCCACAGCACACATTACAGTAAGCCATCTAGGCTCCCCTCCTAGTCTCTGAAAACTCTGAATGCTGTTTCAGAGGCATATATTTGCTTTAAATGGAGGACAACCTTGGCCCAAGCTATTGTAGTTCAAGATCTTGAGAAAGTGTAAATCCCTTAACAATGAGGTCTCCATGGAGTATTGAGCTAACAAGAATTGCTGGCAATTGCACATAAAAATATGCCAAGTGCTCTTCTCTGCAGAAGTATTCACATCTTCAGAGTACGTTTGTAAGATTCAGATTTTAGATAATTGTGAATATTACAAATTAACCCCCATAACACTTGTATTTAGACTATAAAATCCAGTAGTTCCAGTAGATTTAACAGCTTGCAGAATTATTATTCATTAAACCTCAAATTCAATTGTTGCATTAGGCAAACACTGAGAAATTTTTATTTTATGCAGGTGAATTTTCTAATCACCAGACAAAATTTAATACGAAGGAGATTGTTTTGGGAACAGGATCCATGTTGATGATCCCAGTGAGATATCCTCACCTCCCTGCTCCAACATCATCTCATAGGATGGTGGCATGTCATGGTCCTTAGGGGTTACCTTAGGAGCTTGATAGGCCAATAAAGTTACACATAATTGAAAAGGATTAAAATTCCTTTTTAGAGATACTCCTGTTGTCAGACTTGCTGAAATTACTTCAAATGTATGTGTTTCTTTTGGTTGATTTCATACAGAGAGCAGTACCCGAGCTACAGAATGGTAGTCACTGTACTGCATTAGCTCTATTACAAGTAATTCCAGTTCTTCTGGGGGAAAAAAAAAAACAAACAAACAAACAAAAAAAACCAAACAAACAAACAAAAACAAACAAACAAAAAAAAAAAACTTGAAAAATTTGGAAGCAGTCTTAGGAACTGCAAGGTTGCCATAAACATGCCTCCCAATAAACTGGTTTTGAAAAGTAAATTATTGAGGTTACCCATTTATTTTTAGGTTTATTGGTTTACATAGTTGGTTTAGGCAGGAATTCAACTTTAACTAAAATAAATATATTTCAAGTCATCATTTTCAATGTCTGTAAATTTTATGGTGGTATTCTAGCACAGCCAACAGCTCCCAGCCAAGAGTTTGTCATCCTGGGATTCCTCTCTGCACAATGAATACCATCAGTTGATGCAGCAAAAGATAAAGCTGTCTCTGTACCTGCAGACCCCAGGATGCAGATCAGAAGATGACAGATAGTATTAGATATCCATGTTTTTTAATAGACTATAGCAAAGAGAACTTGGAATTTTTCACAAGTAAATTGTGTTTGCATTCACAGGATACATTGTAGAGACTCTGAAATCAATCCATTCCTGTGACTTAGAGTGAATTTTCCTTCCTGTACACCTAAACAGTTTTAATTGACTTTATAATGGGACTGAAAAATATCTGTATGCACCCTGTTCTGTGTGATACAGACCTGTAGTTACTTGTGTAAATTCTGTCTAATAGCAAAGGTGAAAACAACCTGGAGAAGTTAGTCTTCAAATGAAACCTCAGGTGCTTCTTAGTTCAGGTGACTCAGTAGGTAAGGGGGAAAAGAGGGAGCTGTAACAATGGGGACTGAGTTACAGTGGAGTCCCTGCAGGACTGTGGGTAGGCTCCCAGAGCCCAGCAAGAGCCAGCATGGAATATCTAAAAGT